GCAGAGTTCTCGCCACAATAACAGAGATACGGCTTATTTGAGCAGGAAGGGAAAGCCCTCCCCTAGAGAGCAAGACACAGCTACAAACACACACAGGAAGGAGGTAGGCAGGTGGTTCTTACGTTTCTCTTCATAAAGCCTTACAGCCTCATGCATACAGAACAGACGACGTGAGACCCAGAATATTTGCAAACCCTCGCAGTGCCAAAGAGAGCGTGAAGGAAGCAAAGTGAGTTTTTGGCTTCTTCTTATATCCTCTGCAAGAGCCCTTCTCTCCTTCCAGGAACCGCTTCCTCAGTCTCTTTGCTGTGCTTTTTACCCCACACTCCCCAAAATTATATTTGGAGTTTTAAATATAAATCAGAGCAGTCCCTTTGAGCTCAAGTTCTTTCCCAAAAGCACACCAAAACAGCAACAGCTCACCCCGCCTATTTCTATACTCGCCCTATAAATTACATGGAGCAATTACAAGAGAAAGATTGTTTTAATTAAGAAAAGAAAAAGGATATAGAAAAGCAGCTGTACATTTTAGCAGGGGACTGTGGCAAGGCCCACAGTATTTCTAAGATGAATGCTGTGATGTGAGTCACAGCTCCACGGGACCAGCTCTTAAGGGTAGAATTGCCTTCTGTTGCTGTAAGATGCCGTCACACAGTAAAGTGTGGTTCTTTTAATGGGAAACGTTCAGCACAGGGCCATGTGTTCAGGACACATTGCCTAAGAAAGAGGTCTGGTGAGGTCACATGGACTCTAGGACAAAGGTTCTTAGTCTGACCTGGAAGTGGGTGGATTCTGTAGATGGACTGCAGAACATCTGTGAACTCGTGAAATTGTGGCTATTTGCATTTTTTTGAGAAAGGGCTTCCTTTGTTCTATTTAAATTTTCAAAAGGATACATAACCCTCAAAATCATGAAAGTCAGTGCCCCAGGGAAAGTATATTAGATTGCTGGGGCTACCAGAACAAAGTGCCACGAAGTGGGTGCCTTAAACAACCAAAGTTAGGTTCTAGCCAACTCCCGTGTTACCTCATCTTAACT